ATGTGTGTGTCGTACCTGCGTTCTGGGAAAACAGTTAAACAGTTCAAAGAAAAACTAAACGATCCGGATGTTTCTAGAGGGTTCCAGAAAGGNTTTGTGTGCGATCGGGCAAAGGTGTGCGTGGACGGCTTATCGATTCGCCGACTAGCCACGGGCGCCTTTCTTCATGTCGCCGTATTTGTAAATGTGTGTGTCGTACCTGCGTTCTGGGAAAACAGTTAAACAGTTCAAAGAAAAACTAAACGATCCGGATGTTTCTAGAGGGTTCCAAAAAGGAAACAAAAGAGTATTTAAAGGAAAAGATGATCGCCGAGAGGAGTAGAAATAAATTGACCATTGCAGAAGTGAATCGAGAAATAAATTGACAGTGATAGCAGTCAAATAAATAACGCAGTGAATAGTGATATATCAACAGTAGTGTAAATAAATAGAATAATTCATCACTTTAATTTAGTAATAATTTAATAGTGTTTTAAGTTCCTTAATAACACAGGTCTACGAAATTTTTTTTTGAAAAGTGTTTTTCTTAAATTGTTAATATTTGTCGTAATTGTCTTAAAAGTAATAGAAAACGATATTTATATGGTATATACCACGTCACATTAACCCATAAATGCTCAGTAAACACATTTCCATTTTAACCCTTGTCACGTAATGAGTGCGACGAAAAAATATTCGATAACTAGTGTTTCTATGTTTCTAACGATGCTCTTTTCGATGGTGTTGGTTAAAAATACCTTCGACAATATTAAAGCATGGAAAGATCGAAAATAAGCAAAAAAACGTGATTTTTGAATTGACTTTTTTCTTAAAAAGTAATTTTTTGTGTCCTTACGATTTTTTTATATGCTTAAAACCTATATAGATCATGACCTCGATATCTAAACATTAAATAATCACCGTTGGTAAAGCCGAAATGACTTTACAAACTGTTTGATCAAACCAAGTTTAATGTAAAGTGGTGGAAACAATACTTTCTTCTTTCAAACTCGTATTGATGACATTTTTCACTCCGACTTCCAATTGCATTTCTAATTTGGACATAGAAATACCAAATAACAATGATTTTGATTTACCATAAGTCCACTGTCTTAAGACTTCAACACTATTGTATATTGTCCCCAAATGTAAAAAAATACATTTGAATTGTTTTTACAACTTCGAGAAGCTATAGTTAAAGATAAATGAAACACAATCTATTATTACAAGTTAATATTATATCTCTCTCAATAATGGCGCGCTAGAAACTATTTTTTTTTTCAGGCGGTGTAAACGACTACAGTTACTTTTAGACTATCTAAAATAAAGTAAGACAATATAATGCTCAGTCAGAGAGTATTAAATAGAAATATAAACTATAAAATGAATTTTGTGAAAAAACAAATAAATTTGCCGATTCAAAGAGCTATATATATATACATATTAATCTACATACAAAAAAAAATGTAACGTGATACGTTAAAACAAAGTTTATATTTGCAAAATATAGACCAACATTTATAGGTACGCTTAAAATAAATTTATACAAAAAAAATTTTTATCGCAGACCTGTGTAATTAGTGTAAATAAATAGTTTTGTCGTGATCAGTCTTAGAAGCTAATTTTGTTAAACCCACGAACATTACAATACATTCGAATCATGAATCCAATCGCACTAATTGCAGGAAGAAATTCTCATGTGAGGATTAATTTTATTTTTATTTTTTCACCCTGAGCACAAAATATTCTTGAGAGTCTGATATTGTGAAGCGAGTAATACATTTATATCCATTCTTCTATTTGAAGACAATCCTTCGCAAGGATACTAAGTACCTACTTATGTCGAACCTACGATAGTGTGGCACCGCGAATATCTGAAAAAGATTAACACTCCTGAAAACCAGTTTTTCCGTGGCAATGTTATCTTTGATTATACCATCGTTAAATAGGTTTTTATGTTTTTTGAACTAATGGGACCATCTGCACTAAGGATTTTTTATGAACTAATGACTAAGTTTCTAGGATGATTGGACAGTTCTAAAATTTAATGTTAAAACCCATGTCAATCTTAAATTGAGTAGTGGGTTGTTTATTATAATTAAGATCGAAAATATACGAACAGCATATTTTTTACTAAGGGAATATAGAGTATTTATTACATTTACGTTTGCGTTTACATAATTAACATCAATTAATTAAAATATAGATACTAATACAGGTATATTTGTATGAACAAAGAAATTGTTCTTTACCTAATTTAGTACTGCTTCCTGCTTCTACAGGGGGTGCTAACGATTCAAAAACTGCAGAAATACTAGCTTCTGTATTGTCCATTGTGAGTGTACTTTCTATAACAAATAATTATATATGTTTTGGATATTTGAAACTGTTATTTGCATAACTACCTGCAGTTGAAACAATTCTTCTTTTCCCGTCATATGTTTTCACTGGATGCAGTACTTTTTCATCTTTTAATGGGGCAATTTCGTCTGCTTCTATTCCTCTACCAGAAGAAGTTCTACAAAATATTTTTTTTTTTAACTTAAGTTTCACAACAGCAAATTACAATACCTGCCACTTTCGTTGGAACCGCTGTTACTTCAGGAAAATGGAAAGCGGCATCTTGACCTTTAACTCCTGCAGGAACTGTATAATCTACGTAGAACATTTCAAATTAATTTGACCCCGTAACAGTGTAGACTATACATCACGGTTTTTCTGTGTTGGGCAAAAAACATCCTTTCTTTACTTATTGTAAAGCATGATTGAAGTACTTAATATATTACTTACTTTCAGGATAGGTAAAAGTACTTTTCACAAAAATTTTAAAATATTACAAGTTATGAAACTACTCACTATCGCTCAATAACGCCACAACTACTGGGGAATTCCTCCGATAATCGCAACCGCCGTCGCATCATCTGTTGTCGTTTCAGTAAAATGTATGTCGCCTAGTATTGTCGGTAATGTCGATTTTGGTAATTTAAAAAATTTAAAAACTTACGTGGGGTAAACTTAGGTGTCGCTCGCGATCGACATTTCATACCCTGCCGCTGGCATCCCAGTCTTCGGGAATTACCAAAATTTCCCGATGCGATGCTGATAACGTCATCGACCATGGGTCATGCGCTAACATCTCCTACACAAACTTTTTTCTAGAAATATTCGAAAAAGGATTATTTAAAGAAAAGTGGTGTAGTAAAAAGTAAATCATATACAGTCGACTCTCGTTAATTCGAATCTCGAGGGACTCTTAAAATATTACGAATTTTCCAGTGTTTGAAATATCAAATGATTCGAAATTTTTGAGAAAAAATAAAAAAAACTAAACAAACCAATTTGTGCGGAAGTGTGTGTCAAACTAATGATGATACAAGTTTGAACTTGCCTCAAAATGTATGTCAGCGTCCGAATGCCAGAGGACCCTGTATATGGGACACACCCTAAATGAAAGAAGGAATTTATCCCACGACCAATATACCAAATAATTCGTTTATCGTTATAGTGTTCACGATACTTGACTGTTATATGATTAGGTTATATGTTACGTTTTCTTTATGTAAACAAAGCAGCCCTTAAGAACTTTTTAAGAAGTTAGAAACTGGGGTTGGGACATTGATGCTTATGTTATCGAAGTAAACGGCTGTTTCACAGTTTGTAAGCGAGAGAATATTTTATTTTAATAAAAGAGTTAAAAGGTGTTACAAAACAATTGTCATCATTTTTATTATATCTCATATGTATGTATGTACTTACAATCTTTCTCTCTGCAACTTTGAATTGTCGAGTGTATGACATCGATGAGTTCGAATTAACACGTCATTTTGTTACGTAGCAATGATTTTTTCTTCGAATTACCAAGTGCATAAAAATGTATTGATTTAGTTCGAAATATAAAGAGATTTTGTAGGGAACTCGTGATAACTTTGAATTATAGAAAGGTTCGAATTATCGCAGGTTTGAATTAACTAGAGTGCCTCGACTCACGCAAAGACGGAGTTACGCAATTTTCAAAAAATCTCGTTGATTCGTATTTTGTTTGAGCGCCACATAACTACTACTACTCACTATTGTTCAGTTCACTAATGTACATAGGACGTGTCGCACAGAATCAGTTCAATCAGATGATCAAATGACCATTGGGAACTTGACAGAAGGCCTCAGTTTGATTGAAAAGGGTTGCAAATTTTAAAAAACATAGACTCCAACAAAGTGTGCAATTCATCTACAAAAAACAAGGAATTTAGCGTGTTATAAGGTTGCGGAAGAAAAAACCACCCTGTTAGATTTTCCGAAACCTTTAACATAAAAATATCTTTCTTACAATTTTTTGTTTGTATTGTCTAAAATTTTATTAAACATTAACTTTCTAAATCATTACTTTGTTTAATGTCCTGCTTCTACTGAAAATAATTTATATGAATTCGTATGCAAAATTATACCCCAACTTGGGCGAATTCAACTTACGCGGTTATCGCTAGTCCCACCTTCGGGGCATTAATGGAGTTTATGAAATCAAGTGTACAGAGTATAATACTTTTTATACAGGTAAATCAAAAAGGAAAAATTATTACAAGATTCAATAAGCATAAATAATACGCGACATATAATTAACATAGTTCAGGATTAGCTACGCACTAAATGGAAAATAAAGACAATAATGAAATAGAAAGTGTAAAATTATAGTACCTAAATATAAAAGGTGGTTTAATCTTGAACAAATATGAAATATATATGTAATAGAAATTGAATAAGGGTTAGATCAGAAAAAGAATGTAGCAAATGACCAAATCGGTTTCAAAAACAAACCCCTCGTTAATCCAGACATAGTTTAAAAATTCAATTTAGAAATATTTAAATAAATAAGAAGTTGTATTCGTAGATTCATATTTTAGTTTAAGTACAAACCTGTAAACTCTGTGTGATGCCTTAACAAGTTGTTTGTGCAGTAATTTACAAAATTGTTTAATCTGGCATTTTTACGCCTTTTTGAATTGTTTGTTTTATAAATTGTATTTCAGATTCATTATTGCAAGGGAAGAAACACCTGTTGTGAAACTGTTTGTTAATTCTGATGAAAATAGAAATCATCTTGAAATATCGCCCGAAAGTGTCGCACTTATAAATCTTATTTCTCAAAGAATTGAATATGATGGAGGGATTGCCTTAATAGCTGATTATGGGCATAACGGCGAATCAAAAGATAGTTTTAGAGCATTCAAGAAGCACCATCTTCATCATCCTTTGGTAGATCCTGGCTCTGCTGATTTAACGGCAGATGTAGATTTTTTGTGTTTGAAAAAGGTAAGTCCAGCTAAACGTAAAAGTTTTTAATCATTAAATTTTCTAAACTGAATCGTTAAAAGATTTCATAACCATAATTAGATGAAATTTTGCTGTCTATAAAAGGTAAGGATAGGTACCTATTTAGACTCATCGTGTCTTGAAGGTCAAATAAGTATGTAAAATGGTAATCGGAAAACAATCTTCCGGGGAAAAAGGCTCCCGGTAAAGAATGTCCCCTTGAATAAAAATGCCTTTGGTTTATTATAATGTAAATATAAATTTTATTAGGTATGTAACGTGGTTCTGCTATCAAACAGCTTTTACGTCTGTATGTTGACAGAATACACGACTACATCTAAATAAAAAAATACTTGTATAAGTGTTGCAGAAAAGGAAATGGTTTATTTCTTTTACAATTTAATTTTCTAATAATTTATATTTAATATTCATAAAGGTACGGAATGTTCGTTATATAATTTAATAGAAATCAGAATAGATAGACTAGATAATTATCTACATTTTCATCTGTTGTTTTAAATTGTGTTACTATTACATATATATAGTGTAAACAAAAAAATGGAAAGCGCGACTAATAACTGTGATGACCTATTGTTTCTCTATTGAGAGTAGTTGTTACATTATATAGAGCGTTTCAACGTATTAGACTAGTTAAATTAACAAATTTTCTTCCCATAACTCGGAACAATTTTTTACAGTGTACACCTTGTTTTGGTATAAACCCTATAATGCAAAATATTTAATAACAGGAATGGCAGACTAAGAGAACTTAAATAAAACTGCAGTACTGTTTTCAATTTGAAAAAAAAACAATTTTTAACAATGTTTTCCATTCTTCCATATTTTCCTATACATATTTGGTTATTAATTAGACAAACTATTAAATGGCAGAAAACTTCTGTCCAATGGGCATAGAAACGAAATCTGTAGTTACACATTGCTGGGGGTAAGACTTTTTTTTGAACTTGAAAATTCTCAATTTCTATTAGTCTAAATTGCAAGTGTTGTAACTCATAGGCTTTTAAAGATTTAACTGCCAAATTTTAATAATTCTGTCCAATGGGCATAGGAACTAAATCTGTAAAGTTAGAAATTGCTGGGGGTAAGACTTACCCCTATAATGCTACAACAGTCAATATTATGTAAAAAAGATTTACTTTATTTGCTACGCAGACCAGTCACCATATTTAGTTTATTTCAGTCTTTGTTTCACTGAGTTATTTAGTTATTAAATAGACCAAATATTGAATTGTATTTGATTTGTGATGGTACAAGTTTCAGTTTGATGTACAAATTGATTTCTTTTTATAACACATATTATCTCACCGTTTAAAAACAAATGAAACATTTTTTTTAAGTCTGTTGTTTTCTTTAAGTAGATAGTTATTAAACAGACAAAAGGTATTAGTGTCAATATTTGTATTCAAAAATTGCTCTACAATACTTACCCTTGACAATTAATTATAGGAATAAACAATTTATAAAGTTTTTAGTTGACTTCTTACACATTTTTAAACGTGTATGTTTCTAAGAAAAATAACAAAAATTGTAAATTGTTTGAAACATTAGCCTACTACAAATGTATATTATACACTACTTTTCTTGAGCTGCTCTATTACCTTACGCTCATATACTAAATGATCTTCCTTCCATCAGTCAGTGATGTACAAGATACCTTAAATAAAGTATCTGAAATACAAAATACTTTTAAATTAAGTATTTCAGATACCAGATGCAAATAACTTTCTGGAATGGTATCTGAAATGCTAAATATAAAATACGTATCCTTTGAATACTTTTTCTAAATAAAATACAACAGTTTTTTTAATGAAAGTTTATTTTTTTACATGTAAAACGTGACACAACATAATATTATATTTTTAAGGCTTTAATTGAGACTTAAGTAAAACCAGTTCTTCAAACAGTTTATCACTCATTTTTCCTTGATGAGGCCTCATGATCATGCTCCCAAATGGGAACAATCGCTCCACAGGGGCATAACTTGGCAAACAGGTGTTTTTTTATTGTAGAATAAGCATTAACCTCTTTCAATTAGTTAATTATCTATTACTAAAAGTATTTTAGCAAACATATATGAATTTTAAAAAGTTTTTTTATAGATATAAGTTGAAAATACGTATTTTATATCTTGTATCTGTATTTCAAGTACTTGTATCTTAGATAAGTTACATCTCTGCCTGTATATATATAATTTGAAATTGCAATGCGAACTTTCTGGTTCTGAAAACGTAATAGGACCGTAATTCTAAACCACTTACGTTAGAAAACGTCCACTAATTACGTGAGATTGAAAGAGGACTGGCAAAATCTCACCAAGGGGGAACAAAAGTTCTAAAAAACATTTCAAGTAAGTATTGGACGTCCCTCCTCAACCATACAGGCTATCTATGGTACCAGTATCTCATGTTCACAACATTGATTTTACCCCAAACAATTTAAAAAAATTCGACACCTGACCGAATATTAATTTTTTAATATTAAGATTCACTAGAATTTTTATTTTCATCTTATTTACATACTTTAATTTTTGTTGTCTTTGAAAAGTAATAAATTGCTACTGTTCGTTTCAAGAAGTTGAAGATATGCCCCTTCCCTTTATTAGGATGCGCCGTAGCATATTTCCAATTTCAATCATATTTGTCTGTGGAGCTCATTTCTACACCGATCATCGAGCGAGAACTAGACAAAAGTGTACAGTACCATTTGCAGAATTATTTAAACTGCCTCGTTAAAATTTAAGAATATGCTTTATTTAAAAGCATATTTAGCCAAAAANTACAAATTTAGTATGGAAATTTAATTATGTATTGTAAAATGTATTTAAAAATAATTGTTATTAATTTTACCATAAATATCAAAACGGCGTGCTATAGAAAATGTTTTAAATAAAAGTTGTGCAAACATCAATGCGTAATGGCGTAAAGTTATTTTCAAATATAGCGGACTTCCTTTATATCGGAAGTGCACTCTAACTTTATTATCATTAGGTATTATTGCATTTTTCAATTTCCCGTAAAGAATGAATCTCAATTTAGAAATTTTGACGTATCACACACGTATGTGTATGACTTAAGGACGTTCCCAAAGCCCAGTGGTTCTCAATCTACGAATACGATTTCCCTATACAAGTTACCCACTTGAACTGTAAGAATTAGTTGACTAGCACTACGCTCTTTTGCCCCGCCTCCCATGCACATAAGCGAAAAAATTGACCTACTGCGTCGCTTTACTCGACTTGGCAACGTCTCATATTTGTATCGTCTCGAACTGATGAAGGTGAAAAGATATCATTACTAAAGTGATACAATTTTTAAGAAAAAAAAACCAAATAATTTATTTATTAGTTTCGGTAATATAAAGTTATAGATACGTATATAATA